TTTTGCTCCGAAAATACCGTTATTATACGTGAACAGTGATGAACTTACGGCCGTATCACGTTGAAACCTCGGTACTTGGATGATCATCGAAGTTAAGCAACTTTAAGCCTGGTCAGTACCTAGATGGGTGACCGCTTGGGAATACCAAATGCTGTAAGATTGGATGTGCATATGGTGTAATGAACAACGGCTCGCAATTGGGGATTGGAGAGCTGAGTTCCAATTCCCGTCGGGTTCATTATATTTACATACGCTCAAATGCCCTCGAGAAAAGTATGAATCCACATCTTCTCCCTCTAGCTATGGGTTAATTAGTAGAATTTGTATCAGTAAATCATTATTATATCCAAAAGATTTGAATCATAATAATAGTTTCAGGCTTTAAATAACCTACAAAAGGTTGATAAGCCGTAAAACAAACTCAAAAAACAAAAACACTCCACGATGAAAAACGTGTGTAAAATGTACAATGTACATATAAAGGTTCAAAACTTACCCAAGCTATCAAACAATATGACATTTTTTAGCCACTTACAAGTATTGTAACTGAATATGATCCATGGAGGTATTTTTTACAGTAAGGCTCGGGGGTCGCTCAAGGTAGAGGGTCACGTTAGAAAGCGATTTGTGTGTATAGGTGAGGGAGATAACGATTAACCCTAGCCTAGAATATGTTGATTGTAATCAGGGAAAGTAGGTAGTAGGTACTTGTTGGTAGTAGGTTTCACAGGGCAGCGGTTCGTGGGAAGAAGCTGCTCGACTGGAACTTATTTCTCACCAATGGAATACGGAGGGAATCTGGGTGATTCGCTACTTTGTAAGTGGCATGGCGTATTCTTTCTGCAAAAGTTTACCTCGGCGTGACCAGGGAGTGTAGTTCGTCTGAGAACTTTCCGTGGAAGTAGCGGTAGAGCAGTGACAGGGTTCAATCATCCCACCTGTGGAAGAGAGGTTGAAAGGTCGAGAATAATTCGTTACCCACAAGGGCTCGGAGACGCTTTTGAACTCTATCAAGGCTGGAGAGTGAGGTCTGCGTAGCACCCGCCCAAATATGACAACAGTACTCCATTTTCAACCTGATCTGGCTCTTGTAAAGGTAGAGGCTAGCAGGTGGAGTCAGGTACTTACTACAGCGGTACAGAGAGTGTTCAGAAATATAAAAAGACAACTGTTGTAAAACTCAGCACATAAATGTCACGGAAAATTATTGGACACAAAGTATTTACGATACCCTGCCCTAGTTTTAGGTTAGTGGCAATAATAGAAATAGTTAACAAAAATTCTGTGTCCAGTACGTTGGGGTATTTCGAGAAATTAATAAATGCAACACCACCTCTGGCCATCCAAATGAATTAGTCTGGCAATCGCATTAGATTCAAATGCGTACTCGTAATTTTTTTTTACTAATTTTCACCCAATACAAGGCCCAAGAGCCAGTGAAGGTAGAGTTTTACTGAATGAGGTGTGTGATATGAATCTAAACGGAAGAATTAGGAAGTGAATACTATGATGCTATGGAGGAGAGATAACGATTAATCCTAGACTTAAAGAGATTAAGATTGAAGTGTCCAGGGAAGCATCCACGCCAGAGTGTGTTCCACAGAGTAGCTCTTTTTGGTAAGAGGCTGTCTGAGTGGAACACCCTTCTCACCAATGGAATGTGTAAGGAATGCAAGTGAGTCGACTCTGTGGACAGAGCAAGCTAGGTCATCTGTAAATGTCTGAACTGGTTTAAATAAAGAATGGTGTTCACCGGAACATTTTCATGGAAATATGGCTAGTCAGACCATCCGTTGCCGGAAAATCGGTGCTATACCTGATTTTGTGTGTGTGTGTGTGTGTGTTTTCGATATTTACCTGACCTCCCCACTAAGGCAGGATGTGACACAAGGGCTATTTATGTAGGGAGCCCACGCGCTTACATAACGGTCTGTGAAAAGTTATATTGTAAACTGATGTGCTACACTTTTGTGATTCAGACAAAAACAAAATTTGTAAAATATCAACCTTGTGCTTAATGCAACCCCCCCCCCACAGTATTTTGGGAGTAAAACCTTTTCTTTTGAGATGTTATACACGCATAAATGCAGTAATTAATGTTCAAAAACACAATTGAATAGAATTAATGAAGAAGCTAGTCACACTTACCGGAGCCGAACGCCATTCCCCACGGCAAAGCGACAATGGCCGACATGACAGATTTCGATGAGTGGAATTCTTGAAGGAGTTCAACATAAAGGATTCCCATACAGCCCAGAAATCCCATCATCATGAAGAGATTCATTGAAGTGACCAGCATCAGCATCCATTCATGACAGGTGAACTTGGATTTGGTCCCAGGTTTCGCGACGTTCAGGATAGAGACGGAGGTTGTCGTAGCAGCCGATTTGGTTAGCGAGTGATTTGACGTGGGCGATTTGAGTGACTCTTCTAAAAGATAATTCTGGTAGAAAAACAAAATAAAATAAATGAAAAAAGTTTTGGCTTTAAAAAAAGTCATTCTTTAAAAATGCACATGTAAGGGTAATTATAATATTCATTCATTTTATCATTTTATTCACTTAGCGCATTTCGTGCCGCTGTGGTCACCACTCTCCCCCTCCATGTGGCTCTTGCTGACATTCAAGGCAAAATAGTGCAATGGCATGTCGGGTCCTTTTGCGCCGGGGATACTGAAGTTACCCTGTCCAGCCTCTCAGATGTTAAAAACAAATTTTGTTAGAGCACACATTTCTTCATTTCCAACCACAATGGTTCAGTTATGTTGTGATCAGGACTTTATTATTATTTTTTTACAAATAGTGGTTTTTATTATTACAGAAAGTACAAAATGTCAAAGTATGGCGTTAGTAGTGTTGCTGCGGTTGGCTAAGCTCTTGGGGATTGCGTAGCACTTGTTTCATTTTGATATCAAGATTTTGTGCTGGTCAGTCTTCTAAATGATCTTCATCAACAAGAAACCTTTTTGCTGCACGTGTGGTGAGGAGTACTGTCTTACTGAAAAATATCTTCATCTTCATATTCTGGCAAAGAGTGGATCGTCGTAAAGATAATTTTCACTGTTTAGGTTTCCACTAACTTTTACCAATTTTCTTCTACTATCGCTTTTATCATTAGGTGTCCACCACCATCTTTGTGGTGCTTCTGACATAAAAATTACCTTTTGCCACTTTTCAGCATCACATGTTAGATGTTCTTTTAACTACCTCAATCTTCTATTCCGATGTTTTTTGTTTAAAGACATTTTGCTGCTATACGGCCGTTCAAATTTTTTTCTCCATAATACTCTGCGTCCTGTATCAACTGAATCCTCACTGTTAAAACTGCAATCACTTTTCACATGTCTGACGGTTAAATTTGGATTGCCTGTCCAGACTCTCACAATTTTTCTTTGACTTCTCTTGTCTAACTTTTATAGTTTCTCGGTTTTCTTTGTACTTAAAAAAAAAAACACAAAAAACTACGTGTCGTAACAAACATGTTTTGTGTGTTTTGAACAATAACAGCCTCCTGGCTATTTCATGTTGAGCTATCCTCCTATTCAAAGACAAAACCTTCATTTTTATTTTAGCAGAAATCTTATCCGTAATTTTAGTGTAAAAAAATCCAAGTTAATGTTTAATTATAATGACTTGCCAAGACCATCACAATCATGTTATTAAGATAAACAGTACCTAGTTAGAAATTTGCATATTATCATGACTTAATTGGCCTAATAGTTTCTCAGTTTCAGTTTCAAACTTCTTAATGCAGTTTATCTTCCGTTACACATAATAATCTTTTACAATTTATGATTTTTACTTATTGAATACAGTAAAAGAATTGGACACCATGTGTATTTAAAGTAGTTTCCCGTTCCGGTTATTATTTTTAGTTAGGACTTGTGTATGTTTAGATTTCATAATCTTTCCCTAAAGATAAAGAATTTATTCCGATGTTTGTATTCGTACAATCAGTAGAGATCGTTAGATTATTGTTTAAGGTTGACGGGCACGCATGTCTTAATTATTTTTATTATTTTTTTTTATTTTTTACGAATTGGTCAAAGCCAAACTCAAACAAAAACATTGTTTTCAATCTTTATGAGTCTATCGATTGAATAGAATTTTATTATAAACAATTGTCTTGTAAATGGAATTTTTAAAGCATTCTGAATGTAAAAATAAAGAAAAAAGTGTGCAAGACAATAAGAAACACTACATGCCAAAAAAAAAAGTGAAGTTTTGTTGAAATCGGTTGAAAAATGTAGGTAGCCTTTCTGTAATCTTTTAGTTTTACAATTTATGATTTTTACTTATTGAATACAGTAATAAAAATTGCATATTTTGCTTGTGGTGATTCATAATTAGAATTCTGATTTGAATATATTTTTCACTCGTTGTTTCTGATACAAAAAATATTAACTTTATTTGGGTTTATTAATTATGATCTAACAAATCTTATTCATTTAGTATCCTTCTCTGTAATAATAATCTTTTACAATTTATGATTTTTACTTATTGAATACAGTAAAAAAATTGGACACCATGTGTATTTAAAGTAGTTTCCCGTTCTGGTTATTATTTTTTGTTAAGACTTGTGTATGTTTAGATTTCATAATCTTTCCCTAAAGATAAAGAATTTATTCCGATGTTTGTATTCGTACAATCAGTAGAGATCGTTAGATTATTGTTTAAGGTTGACGGGCACGCATGTCTTAATTATTTTTATTATTTTTTTTTATTTTTTACGAATTGGTCAAAGCCAAACTCAAACAAAAACATTGTTTTCAATCTTTATGAGTCTATCGATTGAATAGAATTTTATTATAAACAATTGTCTTGTAAATGGAATTTTTAAAGCATTCTGAATGTTAAAAATAAAGAAAAAAGTGTGCAACTTGATTGAGTACACATACACCAACAGAATTGTTTTCTTTAAGGTAATGCTTGATGAAGCACTAAGCTGAGCGAGTAAGTTCAGTTGATTAGCGTACTTTATCAAAAAAGTGCCTCCCTGAATAAACGCCAAGCAAGTAATTTTAAATAAGCACCTCCTTTGAATAAGCGACCTCCATAATTGGGAAAAGCTCTTTTTGTTAATTTTAAATGAGCACTACTTTTAAATATGTATAAGATTTTCTTATATCAACTTACAGGGGAGGGAGAAATAAAAAAAATACAGTTTCGTTTGCTGCTATTTCAGAATTCCGTCGAACGATCAACTTCATGAGTTACATAACAAAACTAATAGTTAGGATTTTAATGACTAGAGCGTGTAGAAGGATTAGACCGGAAATAGAAGCAGAACACTGGGTCAAGAAATGTAAATTTCATTATCAAATGTTATGAGAGAGAGAGAAAAAGAGAGAGAGAGAGAGAGATCTGCATATTCAGAAAGATATATGCCTATCTGCATATTCAGATATGTGCCATGCTTAGGCTTAGGCGATCATGCATCTTTCGATACATGACTGACGAGGCAGATTTTTCACGCCATAGGTTGCCATTTCTTTATGCGGTAGACCAGTTGCCATCCAAGGCTATAGAACCCGGTCTGTCCTGCTATTTACCCATAGCTGGGAGGAGGAGAAGCTGATTCAGACCTTTCCCAAAGGGTATTAGCTCGTAAGTGAATGTAATGGATTCGACTGGAATTCGAACTCGGCTCTCCGATTCCTCACTCCGCTATCCATTACTCAGTGTCTCCGTGATGCTATTTACAAAATCAATATGACTATAAAGGGTTAATTGTTTTTTTTTAATTTATTTTAGGGAATGTTTCATCGGTTTTGTGCTACGCCCTATTGTTACGTTGTCCAGTTTGTCACGTGCATTTGTCACGTGCATTTGTCACGTGCATTTATCGCAGATGTTTAAGAATCTTAATATATTATAAAGGACTCGATAAAATTGTTTTGTCACTCTTGTTTGAAAATGTATTGTTTTGAGTTGATAATCTGTAACTAGCGAAATAAGCACTCCAAAAGCAAAGGCGGGGACTAAGAAACGGAAAGATTTCGTTAGAAACAAAGAAAAAAGAGTGCTAGATTGCTGTGTGATATCCATTCTCTTATATGGCTGTGGATGCTGAACAATCTCTCCGTGGATGAGGTAAACACTAGAGTCAGCAGAAATGTGGTTCTACTGAAGGATACTGAGATTTCCATGGACGGAGCGAGGAAGTAACAAGGAAATAACACTTATATCCAGAATCAGGAAAAAACAGCTGAAATTACTATGGGCATCTAATGAGGAAGGAAGGTTTGGAAAAGTTAACCCTCACGGGTCATATTGAGAGCAAGAGAGATAGGAAAAGGCAACGAGCTTCTTACATAACGAGCTTGTGTGAATGGCTTGTGGAACGTGGAGTGGGTTTTTAGTAACGAGATTGGAAGTTGTGGAGAGTCATGATCGCCCAAGTCCTAAATGGAGGTGGCACATAGAAGAAGAAGAAGAAGAAGAAGAAGAAGAAGAAAGGAGAAACGGAATTATTGCAAATTATAAAAGATATGTGTTCTAATTGTTCACATGTAAGTGATTTTTCAATAAACGCCTCTCTCGAATATGAATCCCTCCTATAGGCCGAAGGGAAACAAATGGATCGATTTCTTTTTTCCTTCTCATATCTATGGATTGAATAGCATGGTAGACTGTGGTCTCCAGCCTTGACTGGCAGCAAGTGGAGAAGAACAGCAACTTTGAATTCAAAATCTTGGTGAAGCCAACAAGAAAGTATTACACTCTTTTTCCAAAGAAGTCATGGCAATTCCTATATATAGTAAAATAGAGATCCGCGGAGAGCCATAATCATAGACATAGCGGTAAAACACACACACACACAAATAAAGTAGGTATAAATAATCTATTATTTCTCTGAGACAAACGAAATATTACAAAGTTTTACATTCTAACCTTCTTTTCTAACTTTTAGACAGGAGAATAGAAAGCTGAATCTTTATTATATGCGCGAATAAAATAGGTATTCACAAATACACTGACGGAAAAGAAAATTACAAATTCATAAAAGACGATGCTAATTTTGCCTTTGATACAGCTAATGTATGTGAGGAGCTCGTAGATATTCTGATAAAATATTCAAACTTCAGGTATCTTGGGATGTAGTAACACCCATACAAGTACATCGTCTGTATATGAGCTTTATACCGATACACACTGCAATAAAGTCAGGTGTGCTGAAAAACCAGGACGACTCACGCATGTCCCTTTTTTTCATTTAGATCCATTTGAGAGGGAGGGTCGGATTATGGGTGTTTGATAGATTGGTCATTTCAGGGAATTGGTGCGATTATTCCAGAAAATTGGTATTTTCTTTGCTAATTGTTCTTGGTTAGCAGTCAAGTCAATCTGAACAAATATTTGTTAATGTCAGATCATCGAAGTTTAGTAGCATGGATTTTGATCGATTCTGAGCTGAGTAACAATTTACGAAAACTAACCATACACTGAAAATAACTTGCAACCCTGTGTCAAACTAAGCAAAGTTCAGTAAAATAAGACA